TTTCAGTGACTTAGTCACTGTTGCATCTGTCGGAGAAACGATTCGTAGAAAATATTTATCATATCCCTCAGCACTGATCCTTCTTCAACTAACTGGCTAAGCTGTAATTATATATAACGATGGAATGAAACCTATTAATCTTTTCTATGTAATTCATAGGAGATAGTTATATGCTTCTGTAAACTCTTTCTCTCTCTCTCTCTCTCTCTCTGTGTATTATAATTTATCATCGATCATTTTGTTAAAAAAAAAGGAAAAAAAAAAGGAAATAAAAAATATGCAATAAGCTTTTTCACCTGATACCGTAAATACAACAATATATTTCTATGTACAATTGAAGACAGAGAAACATCGATGATTTCTCTCTGTCTTCCATATTTCGATCAAATCATCGAAATCCCGGTGGTACGAAAACGCTTTACGATTTCGCGGAAATGAAAACTCGACTATCGCGTGTTTGTCGTTCTGCCAAAAATCCAAAGACATTTATTACAATTTATGTACCACGAATATAAACCTCATACGATATGGAACGATCAACTTTGACGTCGATTAGTTTCGATCGGAGTCGAAGCCAGAATCGGTGATTACGCGACGATCGATGGTCTTAACTTTGAGAAATAAATCATTTTAACGCGTCGTTTCGTCGGTTAGTTCTTAATTACCAATTAAGAAGTCGATATCATTCATTCGCGATTTACGTCAATCGATGCATGTGCTTGTTGAATTAATCGGAAAAAAAACACAGAAAAAAAAACAGATAAAATATCTAATAAATAGTCGATTAAGTTTTGACGTCTATTACGATGATAAGAAATGTCTTTGAAAATAATGGAATGGACGATGACGAAGATAACAAGTACATATACACCTAATTGCAATTAGATACATATACATACGTACATAGATAACTTTGTTAGATATTTGTAAGCGACGACGCGGTATTTAGCAGGATTCACACTTTCTCGTAGATGACGTATCTTTTCCTGGAAAGGCACACGTAGAGCCGGCCGTTTCTGCACGATGAGGTCATTAGAATCCGTTGCGAGCGAAATTTTCTTTTTCCTTTTCCTTCCAGCCTGCAAGGAGCTCCGCTTGAATCTTCACGTGATTCACCGCCTAAGGATATATAGCGAGGAGCATCTTTTTCTCTTTCTCACCCATCTCTCGCTCTCTCTCTCTCTCTCTCCCTCTCTCTTTCTCACCCATCCGCCCTCTATCTCTTCCTCTCTCTCTCTCTCTCTCTCTCTCTCTCTCTATATGCTCCTACGACTTTCTGCATCAACATATCCTTATACGTATTCATCTTTATACATAGAAATACGACAATAATTCGCGAACTCAAATTCCTGATTTATTTATTCGATTCATGAACAGATACGAGAGATGAGGAATCAGTCGTAGAGATTCCTTTGTCGATGCATAGAAATATATTAACGCCTATTACGACGTAGTTATTCGAGAAAAACGTGTCGCGCAAATGCGACTAGAATAAAGAATTAAAAAAAAAAAAAAAAAAAAAGAAAAAGATGATTTCATCATCGATAAGTGGTAAACATAATTTCGTAAGACATACTACTACTAAGTTTTTTAATGAGATACGATGTAAACGAAATGATGAACGCCGAGCGGTGATTCATTACTATCAATATCATATGGTGTTCCTGGTTAACAAGAAATTCCCTCGATGATATTAGATTCCTCGCCTTACAGGATAATTTATCTATCGATGACGCCTTCTTTTCTTCTTTATTTTTTTTTTTTTTTATACATACATACATACATATTTCTTATACATACATATATACATATATATACACTTTTTGCAATTATAGTCTTTTCCGATCAGAGCTGGATGTAAAACGTCACTACGTCTGAAAAAAAATTTGACGTGCTATTAGGAAGTTCTCTTCGTCAAAGACCAAATCCAAGAAGATGGATATTGGATACAAGAAAGAGAGAGAAAGAAAGAGAGAGAGAGAGAGAGAGAGAGAGAGAGAGAGAAAGAAAGAGAGAGAATTCGTAAAAGCTGGATCGAATAACGGACCGATACGAGGAAGAAGAGAATTTCCTGGAATGATCTCTTCTTCGACTCGATGGTGCTCTTCTACTAAATCCTTTGTACTATACCGCCCCATACGATATTTGCGTACGATAGACGGAAGTAACTACTTACCCGTACTTACGTTATTACGACACTTAGATCATTCGAGATAATCACGAAAGACCTACATAAGTTTCAACGATCAACGATTTTACGAGAAATCTAAACTCTTTTTTTTTCCTATTAGCGATTTATATATTTATATCAAAAGGGGGAAAGAAAGAAAGGGAAATAAATAATAAATAAGCAGGAAAAAGGAACGACTATATGAATTACATCCGATAAGTGAGAGAAAAAGAGAGAGAGAAAGAGAGAGAGAGAGAGAGAGAGAGAGAGAGAGAGAAAATCTCTTGGGCATTCCAAAGGACTTCGCTGTGTTAACGAACCGATTTATTACGACCGTTACTTCGATCCTTCCACCCACGACAGCGCACCCACACCAATAGCGATAGCGATCGATACGAAGAGGCAACTCAAGAGTTAAGCTTCGGTCATCCGTGACGCGTTCGGGAAAAAAAAAGAGAGAGAGAGAGAGAGAGAGAGAGAGCGACAGAGAAAGAAAGAAAAAGATACATCAGGACATCACAGTTCTCGAGTGTTCTCCGAAGTGCCAGGAATAATAAGAAGGAAACACGTGTCCGTGCGTAGAAGACCATCCTCTCCTTTGCATTTATGACATTAGTGAGTAATGTACATCTCCGTTCGACAGACCTGTTCCAATGCCTTCTTTTAATGAGTAATATGCATGACATCAAGCACATTAAGCACCAGATTCTAACTTTTTCTTTCCCCTCTCCCTTTCTTTTTCTTCTTTTTCATTTTTATTTTTCTTTATTTCTCTTCTTCTTTTTTTCCTTTATTTTTTCTTCTTTTCTTTTCTTTTCTTTATTCCTCTCTCTCTCTCTCTCTCTCTCTCTCCATCTATCTATCTATCTATTTCTCCTTCTCCTTCGAATCTACAAACTCGTATTTCATATGTCGAAATGTCGAAAATAAATCTACTAATCTCTTACGCCAAAACAGATAAACACGAGTACGAATTGTTGATAAATTTATTTATCATATTTTATTTATTTACTTATTTATTTATCTATTTCTCAGATTAAATATATATATATATAATTCTTAGAGTTCTCCTGAAGAGTTCGATGTCCTGAAAACTAATTGAAATTAATAATTATCGACTCTATATATGTCTGATTGAAAGTACTTTTATCGTACTAAACAAGCAACGCATTCTACGATGCATTTCGTATATAACGAAATTGTCTATATATCGAAATGAAAATTATGAAGGAAGAATGAAATGAGGAGAACGAACAAAGGAAAAAATACAAAAAGAAAAAGAAACAATGAAAGAAAAGAAAAATAATAATAAAATTAAAGATGAAAAAGAACAAAATAAAAAAATAAAAAAATAAAAAAAAACGAAAAACAAAAAATCAAGTAGAATAAAATGACAAGAAAAACTCTCGGAGATCGAAAGCTGTGGTAGCCTGTGAAGGATTTGGGGGGGGGTGGGGTAGGAGGGATGAGAAAGAGGAGAGGTGGCAGTTGGGCGGAGAAGGGTGAGGGAGGAAGGGAGGAAGGGAGGAAGGAGTAGAGAGAAAGAGGGATAACCGATGAAGAAGTGCACTCAAGGCAATTTTGACGTCACTTTGGCAGAGTTCCACGGCATCGCGTTCCATCCCGACACATAGTAGAAACGTGGGAGTGGAATTCCCTGATTCTCACGAGCCTTATTTTGGGAAGCTCTCGCGGTGTTCATCCTCTTCGTCGATCTTCTCGTCGGCCACTCTTACTCGTTGTCGTTCGTGCGTTCTTATGTGGATGTACGTACAACCACGGCCGGAAGCTGTGGGGACTTACAAATTTGGAGCGGTGCTCCATTTTTTTTCCTTTTCTCTTACCAACAGAGATACACCATTTTGCAAGGCTCGTTGCCATTTTGAAAGGCCAGCTAAAACACTGTAGCGCCAAGCTACAGATAGAGAGAGAAAGAGAAAGAGAGAGAGAGAGAGAGAGAGAGAGAGAGAGAGAAAACTTATCAAATTCAAACGATCGTATTTTTGGAAAGGTTTTTGGTTATTCTTAGATGCTGACAAGGATTGAAACATTTCGATTCGCAGCACGCATTCTTTTTCCACCCACTCTCTTTCTTTCTCTCTCTCTCTCTCTCTCTCTCTCTCTCTCTCTCTCGCTTTTTCTCTCTTTTTATCTTTTTAAAACTACCTATGTATCTTTGCCAACATCGCAAGAAATTCTTTCGATCTAGTATACGTCTTTTCTCGCTTAGTCGCGATATCTCCAATGTAGTAAATCAGTGTGAAGTTAGGATAAAATAAAAGCGATAAAAAAGAAAAGTACTAACCGAGCTCAAAGATCGAGTGGACACGATCGTAAAAATCTCTTCTTCTCTTACGTAATATTCTATATATCTATCACGACTCTCTCTCTCTTTCTCTCTCTCTCTTTCTCTCTGTTACTCCACGTGTATCTACCATGCGATTTTCCTAACCGCGATTAGTTTCATAAATTAATGTTCGTCTCATATAATATTTCTTTCGACCTATTACGTATTCTTGCACTTCTCGATGACTCACCGAAAAAGTTGCAATCCATTCGGCTCGCTAGTAGCTAGCTCCGCTCGCTGTACTCGAAAAAAGAAAAGAAAAAAGAAAAAAAAAAAAAAGAAAAAAATCGAAAGTAAAAGAAAAACAAGAAAAATAAGAAGAAGAAAAAAAAAAAAGATCGGAAAAAAGAAAAATCAAGAGGATAAATGAATTGACGCGTGAAAGGAATCGTTGTGAAGATGCAATGTATACATCTATGCATCGAACACGTAACGTTTCCTACGGTCAATCATGAAAAACGCTTTGAGACGATTTACGTGTCATTCGAAATTTACACGCAATTTATTATATTCCATATATCAACTATTAAATGACAGGTAATTAATAATAAATGGATGGAAGATCTATATAAATTTCATCGCTGTAACATTTATAAACGGTACCTCGAGAATCGGGCCAGTCAATAACGAAGAAAAAATGGAAAAAAAAAGAAAGGGATGGAGGAAAAAAAAAGAAAGAAGAAAAAAAGAACTACTTTTAAATTTCCAATCTCATAGTCAAACGTTCATGTTCTATGTATATATCACGTTATCACATCTAAACGCGTCGAGAGCAGCGATCAACGATCCGATCGTAAATATAATGACAGAGGTGTAACGCTCTAATGGACTTCTGTCATGACGGTTGGTTGATCGTCGAGATCGGCGTAGCTATCAGCTAAAATAGAAGAAGTCGGTCGTCGTGGCTCGATGACCTTCGCAAGATCTTTCCAAGAATCGGTCACATTCCAGCAAGAGCTATGTCATTCGCGAGATCTATGACCACATCTGATCATTTCTCCGAATGAAATCATTTCACTGACGAATCGTGTCACGCATTTTATAAAATCAACCAACTCGATTATTCATTGATCGACCGATATACTAAGAAATAACTTATTATGACTTTCGAACAATCGAGCCGTTCTTAATACCTGGAATGTTACATACATGTATAGGATATATCAAATGAACGATTGAAATTTATACGATGAATTTCTTTTTATAACGTACACCTGTTTTGTTTCTATTTTTCTTTCTCTCTGTTTTCTTTCTTTCTTTCTTTTTTATTATTATTATTATTATTATCATTATTATTATTATTATTATTATTATTACTATCAAACTTTCTAATATTACACCATCGATATCGCCAATTATTCGTTAAGAGCCATGAGCGTAACAAATTATAGATATATTCGTTTGTCCTGAGTGCAATTAAATACACGATAATCCGGTCGCGGTAGAGGTTTAATAATCCTATTAACGTACGAGAAAATAATCGATATCTGTCCAAAGTACGAGCGAAAGGTCAAAAGGTCAGTGCGAAAAGTTCGAGAGCAATTTCTAGAGTTAACGAAGAGATTTTCTTTTTACGTTAGTCATCCGCGAATATGCGTACAAATATCTAATAGAAGAATTCTATGCATTTCAAACAGAAATAACAAGATAAGGATACCTGAGCCGCATTTAAATTTGATTTTTCTTAAGAGAGATATCAAGCAAATTAATAGAAGGTCATCGATCAACATCACATATAACTACGAAATTATTCGAAGAAAAAATATGATTTTTCCTTGAAAATTGTTCGAACGAGATTGATCGACGGCGCGTAACAGTTTTTTTCTTTCTTACTTTGCTTTTTTCTTTTCTTTTTTTCTTTTTTTTTTTTTTTTTTTTTTTTTAATTAAACACACCGAGACGCAACGTATCCTCGTTCGAATTCTTAACGCGTACGTCCAATAAAAATCATCGCTAAATCGTCGAAGAGCATAAAATGGCTACGGAGAAAAATAAAATGAGGAGTTAATCCGTATTCTCCAATCGAGAGCGAACGTTTCTACTTAACGTTTTCTTCGTTTTACGTAACCTACGAAGTATTTACTCTCTCAAAAGCGTTATTCAAAGGGGGTCAAAGTTGAAACGAATTTCCTATATAGCGAAATTCGAGGCTCGCGTTTACTCCTTTTAGAGTTTTACTGTAAAAGCGTTGAAAAGGTACCGAATGGAATACGAAGAAATACGAATCGAGTAGAAACGAGAGAGAGAGAGAGAGAGACAGACAGATAGACACAGAGAGAGAGAGAGAGATTGGCAAAAGTTCGCTTTCGTGCGAAACCAGGCGTTTCTCGATGCGAAACTGACGTGCAATAAAAAAAAAAAAAAAAAAAAAAGAAATAAAAAAGAAAGAAAGAAAGAGAGAGAAAGATAGATAGCAAATCCCAAAAGTGGAAGCTACCGGTAACAACTCGGGATCGAATCGTTGAAATACCATAGCGATCAATGGAATCCAAGCAAGGACGATCTACTTTGGAATTGAATCGGAAAAAATCGCATTTCGCGAGTTGGCCAAAAGGACGAAATAAAGAAGAAAAGATTCCGCAGGTATATCGCGGCTTTGGTAATTCATGACGACAAAATCGTGCGATCGTCCTTTCGTCCTTTCCACGAAACGGACGTTTCTTCGGCACTCGTGAAATTCGTATAGAAGAAGGAATCGACTTTCTGAAGGAAAAGAGAAAGACAAACAGAGAAATAGAGAGAGAGAGAGAGAGAGAGAGACAGAGAGAGAAAGAGAAAGAATAAGGTTTTCTCTCTCGTGCGCTTTGTCTCAAGAGGAAGAGAGGGTTCTTCTTCTCTCCTACCTCAATGGGTGTTCCTAAGCGAGAAAAAAGGTGTTTCTGCTGTGTCGGCGAGTAGTGGTAGTACTTACCGGAGCTTCTACCTGCAGAAATGTAATAGCCGGATAAAAAGGGTTCTAAGGATACTTTCCCAAAGATGTTCGTGTGCTTTTGTCGTGCCATATAATACAAGACACCCGGAATCTCTTATCTGAAAAACAGACAAAAGAAAAAAAAAATATATATATATATCTTTTATATATTTTATATATATATATATATATATATATATATCTTTATAATAAAAATAAAAAAGAAAAACATTTAACCATCATTTCATATTAATCAAACGATTCGATCAATTGATATATGAAAGATGGTATATCCATGACAATGGAATATTTAAAGGACGTCAATAAATTTCTTTCGTCTGTAAAATATCAAAAACTTTCTCGTAGTAACTAAAGGAAAGAGAAAAAGAGACAGAGAGAGGGCTTTGTCCTTCCGCAAAATCAGGATGCACGACGTGCACGAGATACGCGCGTGAAACGTGTCGTGGATCTATCAAGCAAAAGGGAAAGAGAGATAGCAAGCAAGAGGAGATAGAGAGGGGGAGAGAGAGAGAGAGAGAGAGAGAAAGAGAGAGCTAAAACTTCAAACGACACGTTTCGACGACGACACGCTGTTATATCTCCCTCTTTTAAAATGCCTCTTTGTACCGGCATGTATCGCGAACAAAACAGCGCATCGCTGTAGTAAGAGTTTTGCAAAGAGAAAGAGAAAGATAAAGAAAGAGAGAGAGAGACGGAGAAAACAAAGGGTGAAGAAAAAGGACGACTAGCGTACGAAAGAGGTAGAGAGAGAAAGAGAAAAAGAGAGAAAGAAAGAGAGAGAGAGAGAGAGAGAGAGAGATCGGTTCCATTCAAACGGACTGCTGCTACGATTTCCAATCGTCGACTGCTTCCTCGAAACGAGGGCCCCTTTGGCTATCCCGTCAACGAGACGAGAATCAGAGAAAGAGAAAGAAAGAGAAAGAGAGAGAGAGAAAGAGAGAGGGAGAGAGAAAGAGAGAGATAGCACTTTGGAATACTGGCTTTCCTGTCGCTCCATTCAAGCGTTCTTGCAACGGTGGCATCGCTGGTTGTCGCATCCAAGAAGCTCCTTGATATTCCAGCGGTGCGCGAATGCCGCTTCTTCCATACGCGGCGATAATACCGGCTGCTCCAAATGGGGTGCCGTTCGTCCTCGGCTCTACTCGGCTCCGCTCGAGAAGAAGAGTAAGTATGAGGTAGAAGAAGGGTGGGAGAAGAGGGCGCGTGGTGGCGGCGTGCTGGCGGCGGCGAACCAGTCGAAGGGTGGGGTAGGATACGGCGGAGAAAGGGCGGAGGTGGAGGCAGGAGAGACGCACGAGAAAGACCCACCGCACCCGCTTTGCTGCTGGGCCTCACCTTACGACTTACGTGGACATAAAAGGCAACTCCGTTGCGGAGGACCTCTTCTTCTTCTCTGACACATTGACACACCACCATTCGATCCCTTACGTGGTACCGTCTCTTACCTTCCCCTCCCTACTCCTCCTCCTCATACTTTTTCTTCTTCTCCTTCTCATTTCTTTTTCTTTTATCATTTACACGTTCCTCCGTTCTATATCCTTCCCGATCAATTTCTTCTTTCTGTCGAATCTAAGAGCCCTTTCTTTGACACGCTTTTCTACTCTCGCATTTGATATGAGAATCTCGCAATAGATATTAGATAGGGGATAAAGGAGATAAATGTCGAATAATCCAAGAGAACGTATGTATATATGTCGCATGGGATATCTAATAAATATTTTCATCGTTCGAATGTTTCGATCTTAATAAATATCGTTAAAAGATTTTACAATCTTTGTTTTTGATAATAAGTAAAAATATATTTGTAGTTACTATTTCTCTATCTCTGTTTTACTTCTTGAATACTTTAGCCTCTGGTAAAACACGCAAGAGAATTAAGCGATTACTCGAGTGAGAAAGAAAAATATACAAAAGTCAAAGTCGTTAGATAAAGATGGATAGAGAGATAAAGATAGATAGATAGAAATAGAGAGAGAGAGAGAGAGAGAGAGAGAGAGAGATAGTTAAGTCATCATCCGTCTCTCGTAATTCAGAGCGAACTGAATCTTCTATCCTGATAGTTGGATGAGAGCAAGATGTGTCTTGCGTAGATAGATACGAGCATGCAACTATCTACGTATGTATATATACGAGAGAGGGAATAAAGGCGCGCGGCGAGGAGGTCGACTACTTTTCATCGTACCGAAGACTAGAACCGCACACGAAGAAGCTGCCCTTGCTCACGAATTGCACATGCAAAATGGCATTAATCACGGATATATATATATATATACATATATATATATACACACATGCACATGTACACACATACATATACGACGTATCTACAATCTATGCATAATATACGTATTATACGTATATAAATCTATGCATATACATACGTGGAAAGTTTAGCTAGACGTAGGGTACAGGAGTATTTCCTGCACATGGAAACGTTCTCTACCTGCACGTGCAGGAAGCTTCTGGTCGAACATGCAGACGAGTTGTTCGACGATTAGATCGAGCGAAGAAGAGAGAGAAAGAAGAAGGAATAAAAGAGAAAGAGAAAGAG